TGCACAGGAGGAAGACAGAATCACCATCATCAGCCCAAGGCTGTTCCCATGAGGCCAGATATGCTGCCACCCTCCAGCCCTCTTACCATCCTCGACACCAACTCACTGCAACACCTCCTGCAGCACCCACTGCCCCTCTGCTGGATTCAATAATTCACTGCAGTGGCCACACAGAATTCACAGATTATGTGGTTTATGAGGGAAGCAACAGGCTACAATTCAAGTTCAGGGATGTGCTCAGAGTCTCTTAGCTGGCCATCTCTCTCTCAGCAGTGTGTTTCTCTCACGTCTCTCTCAGCTAGCAGTCAGAGAGACTTCTATCTCTAGAGGGCTCCTTTTGAGCCTGGCAGAGTGGCCAAAAACAACCAATCCCAACATCAGAGTTCTACACACCTGAAAGAGAGCAAACTTCCCAGAAGATTGCTTTGTGTTTGTCGGTGGATGACTTTAACAAGCAGCTACTCAATTACAGCAAAGTGGGAGTTACAAATACTATGGCTGAAAAAGCTGTATCGTGTAATTTACCACATTGCAAATACCCTTTAAAGCTAGCAGTAAGATGATGACATTTTCATATTAAAAAAAAAAAAAAAAAATCACCACCAGACCAACATGAGGAATAAGTGAGGGGATGTCATAGATCCTACAGACATAAACAAAAGAAAAATGATCATGACCAACTGGGGTTTACTCTCAGAATGCAAGGTTGGTTCCACATATGAAAACCAATCATAGGAAAGGACAGTAACAATGGTGGTACAACAGGAGCTGGCACTTGAGCTTGGACTTCTAGCCTCCCAAACTGTACAAGAATAAACACATTTGTTCAAGCCATGCGCCTGTGGCATATTCTTGTTAGAGCGGCACTACAGAACCAGAACAAGCACTTCTCCCCGATTGATAAGAGGAATTTGAGCAACTCCCATCAACGCTCTTGACAGGCTGACTCTAACATTCATGAGGAAATGCTAAGAGCACCAAGACAGGCAACCCAATTTTGCAGGAAAAAGAACAAAGACGAGTAACTCACATAACTTGATTTCATGGATTAGTACAAAGCTCCAAGAATCAAGCTGGTGTGGCGCTGGTGTACAGAAAGACACAGGGGCTGATGGGACAGAACCATGGACACAGAGGGACAGGACAGAAGGTCCAGGAAGACGCCCGTGCACACGCAGTGAGCTGATTTCCACACCGTCACCGAACAGTTATTTTCAACAAATGGTGCTAGAAACCAGATACCTATGTGGAGAAAGAACACCCACAGAACCTTACACTGACCCCTACCTCCCACCACATGAAATATCCCTCCCAAATCTCATAAACCTTCAGTAAAAGGCAAAACTGTGACCTTGAGTCAGGCAAAAAATTCCACACAGGACACAGACAGCACTGACCATAAAAGAAAAAAATGATACAAATGGTCTTATCAAAAGTAAAATCTTTCGTTCTTCAAAACACACCATTAAAGAACTGAAAAGGTCTCAACACAGACCTGCCTCCCGACTACGGCAGACCACTACACCACAACAAAGACAACCAGTCTGAGGGAAGAGTGGGTAACAGGCCCAACGCTCACCTCACAAAGCCAGAAATAAGGGCAACAAGGATGCTCAGAGTGTGAGCAAGGCCATCAGTCACCAGGGAAACGCAGCCCACCGCGTGAGACTCCACGTCACCCCCCCCACGGCTGGTGTTCACAGACAGCACCCGGGGATGCGAACACAACGGCACTCTCGCGGTCCCTGCTGAGACGGGACAGCAGCACAAGCCCATGGGAGAGAGTCTGGCAGCTTGAGAGTCTGTCACTTACGTGTGACTCAGTGTTTGGCTCTCCAGTGCTGCTCTAACGAAGTACCACAAATGGGGGAGGCTTGAACAAACAGGGATTTATTCCCTCACTGTCTAGGAGGCTAGAAGTCTGAGTTCACAGTGCCAACTCTAGGGGCTGGGTGAACGCCCCTCGACCTTGGGCTTCAGCTCTGCTTCTTGCTCCTGGCCCACAGAGGCTGGAAGTGTCTCCTCACTCAGGCAGCTGCTGACTGCTGAGGCTAACAAACCTAAGGTCGACAAGTAAAATGGCACAGTCCCAAAATTACCAGACCACATGGCAGGCCATTGATTCAAATCCATTAACAGTCCCAAGATCAGCAGGAAACACAGCAGGCTGCCACATGAAGACTTGGCTACGTGCAGGGTCCAAGTGTGCCAGAAAGCTGAGGACCTTCCTCAAAGCTGCTTCTTCTGTCCTAGAAGCAGCCCACACCCCTAAGGCCGCCACTGAGCTGTTCCAGTAGATTCCACCATGGAGCCACTGACCAGTCTCATCGTGGGGAGTAACTACATCCAGCTGCCCAGCCACTCAGCCAGGCCCAGCCAGGCGGACACACAACCTTCACTACCACACTCAGCAGCTGTTCCTACCCCAGGTACTTACCCAGGAGAAAGGAAGATCGCCGTCTATACGGAGACTTCCCATGGACGCTTACAGCAGGTGCATTCCAAACAGCACAGAACCCGCAACAAGCAATCGTCCATCAACAGACAACAGACAAAGCCCAGGGGACACAGCCACGCTCTGGGGCGCTGCTCAGCTCCTTCTGCATGGGGCCCACAACACACAGTGAATCGGTCAAGAAGGACGTGGGCTTGACGGTCGCATGGGCAAGGTGGGGGGTCCACAGAGGAGTACAAAGACCTGTTACAGGCTGAACTGTGTTCCCCAAAATTCTTGCTGTAAATCCTCAGCCCTCTAACTGTGGCTACAATCCCATTTGAGAACAGGCTTTAAGATGTTAATGAGACAGGCTCAGCGAGAGAACCATCTTCAGTCTATCTCTTCTGAGATGTAAAACAGATTAAACAAGCAGCTAGAAGCAGAGAGGATGAGAGGGGCCAGGCCGCATGAAGACAGCCCTGGAGCAAAAGCTCAGAGACACAAGGACCTTCCTCCAGAGCTTAGAGCTGGCACCTGAATTTGGACTTCCAGCCTCTGAAGCTGTGAGAGTCAAGGACAGACCCATTCTGGGGTGATGGGCTGTTCCAGGTCTGGGTCAGGGTTCCAGGTCTGCATTAGGGACATGTGCTTATCAAGATGTATCCAAATGCATGCATGAAATGTATGCACATGGATGTAAATTACACCTCCACAGACTGATTTTTAAAAAGTGAAAAGCAAATTACTGCTAAGCCCTAGTAATTAACACAGACTGGAACTGATTCAGGGACAGAGCCCCTCGGTGGGGGACAGTAACGCACCACAGGTGGGAGGGTGAGGAGGTGGGCTCCTGGCCACAGGCTGGGGCAATGAGTTATGTGTCGGAAAAGGAGAGTAGAAAGCCCACCCCAGCACACACTTCCGAGTAGATGGGGGATGAAGGGATGCACATGTAAGAAGGTACACCAACACATCACTGGGAAATCCACCAGTGCCCACAGTACCTTATCACCTCACTACACCTTTGGACACTGTAACAATAAAGTACCCAAAACATTTACTCATATGTATGCAAATGTATGCTTGTGTACGAGTGCAGAGGTATGTGGGGGTGTGTAAGTGTGCAGATGTGAACAGGTGCAGCTATGCGTGCATGTGTGTACGTGTGCACACACGTGCAGGTGTGAATGCACATGTATGTGTGCACACACGTGCAGGTGTGTGTGGTCTCTGTACACATGCAGGCGCATATGTGCATGTGCAGGTGTGTGTGGCTGTGTAGACATGTATAGGTCATGGGTGTGTGCCCATGTGCAGGTGTGTGCATGTGCATACATGCAGGCAAGTGTGTGCATATGTGTGCACACGCGTGTAGATGTGTGGGTTTGTGTACATGTGTGTGCGGGAAGATAAGTACAGCACAGGTGTGTGTGGCTGTGCATATGTGTACAGGTATGTGAAAATGTGTGGGCATGTGTTTGTGGATGTGTGTGTGGGCACATGTGAATGTGTACAGGTGTATGTAGTATACAAGTATGTTAAGTGTACAGATGTGTACAAGTATGTGTACTGCGGGGCATGCATGTATGTGCAGACATGTGAGCATATGTGGATATGTGTATGGGTATGTACGTGTGCAAGTGTGTGTGAACTTGTACAGGTGTGTATGTGTACAGATGTGTGCATGTGTGTGAATGTGCGGGTGTCGATGTGTATGGCTGTGTATGTGTAATTATGTATACACATGTGCGGGTATGCAAACATGTACGGGTGTGTATGTATAGAGGTGTGTGTATGTGTGTGGGTGTGTGAACGTGTGTGATGTCAATGTGTATGGGTGCATATGTGTACTTATGTGTATGCACATGTGTGGGTGTGCAAATATGTATGGGTATGTATGTGTACACGAGGGTGTGTGTGTACGTGTGCAGGTATAAGGATTTACCTATTACATCAGTAACTAGGTATTTCTACTAAACTTCAGAAAAGAATTCCCCTAACCAGCAGAGGCTTCTGTCCCAAACGTCTCTGAAAGGCTGCCCACGGTGCAGAGTTCACCAGGACACGGGGGCTGCAGCCCCGCTGACCGCCTTCGGGGGATTCCCAGCTATTTCCCAGCAGAGGGGAGAAATGACTGGGAGCTAAGCACGGCAGCAACTTGAGCAGCAGCCGCCATTCTCAGTGCCACGGCAGGGGCTACTCAGTAGAACCACTGCTGCCCTCAGCACTAACATCTGTGCCAACTCGGGAATTCGATGTCCACTTTGCGTGTTTTGAGACCATTTTTATTTGAGCCTCAACTGTTTCAATGGACAACTAAAGGCTGTAACAGTCACACTTCACATGTCCATGAAACCACAAGAGAGCTTTGTAATCAGGTCAAAGTCAGCCTCCTGGTAGCTCACTGAGTGACAGGATGGAGCTGTGACCTGGCAACTGACTCAGCAGGGAGGCTGCGTGGAGGCCTGCATGGAAGTCAGGGCCAGGCTTCCCCTGGCAGCCTGCAGGGTCCCCACCCGAGGCAGCTCTGCCAGGTGTGCTCACCTGTGCTAGGTGTGCTCACCTGCTCCACGTGTGGCTCCTTGGCAAAGGAGATTCTGGCAATGGAGTGGGAGGCAATGCACAGCTCCTGCCCGTTCACCTCGCCCTCTTCCACTTCCACGATGCCTGCAACGAGGGGTTGCATCAGGGCACATCCGTGGCCCGCCACGGCACCCCACAGAGACCCCACCGTGCAGGCCCCACCCCGGATGCCCTGCTATGGAGATCCTGCCCTGGTCACTCTGCCCTGGACATGCCACTACTGGAGTGTGTAGCGCTGCCCACCCCAGCCCCACTCACAACTCCCATCCTGACTTCTCAAACTCCCCATGGTAAAAGTGCACCCACCAGCATGGACCCCTTGGGGGGCACCTGAGGACACACGTGACCCCCAGCCCTTCCCACAATGCCCTTGTGAGGGCACCAGGCGGGCATACCTGTGTTCTGGGCACTGATGAAGGCTACCTTGTTGGTGTCGGGCTGGAGGCGGATGAAGCCACACTCTCGGTGCATTGGTTTCCGGGTGTCCGGGTGGAAGGCGTTGAATCTGCACAGGAGGCAGAGAGTGGGGCTCCTGCAGAGAGAGGATGCGGGGCCCCCACCGCAGTGCATACCCTCCCCACGCTGCACACAGATGGGACGTGTACTTCTGCTATACTGGGCAGGGACCACCCCCACCATCATGCACACCCTCCCCACGCTGCACGCAGACAGGACATGTGTTCCTGTGACTGGGCAAACTTGGCCCCTGAGGCCCAACACCTCTGCCCATGATAGAGAACACTAAGCAGGCATTTCAGATGCTCAGTTACCCCGACACTCCAGGGCCTAGGGAGCTGTGTACATTATGCAAAGCTGCGTAACTGCACACTCGGCACGTTGGCTGAGTGGTGAGTGGTGAGGTGGCTGAGAGCTCTTCCTAGAAAGGGGCACAGCAGAAAGAGGGTTTCCTCTAGGTATCTGCTCTTGAAGCGCGTTGAAGCTGGTACCAAGGTGCCCATGCCCGCCTTCTGTTGTTCATGTAGCAGAGACGTCCCAATGGTGACTCAGGGTTTGGGCTCCATGCACCAGACTCCAACCCACAGCAGGAGTGGAGACACGGGTCAGAGAGCCTGGGAGCCAGCACTGGCCACACCCTGACGTTGTCCCAGAAGTTAACACTCAGGACAAGTGAAGACAGCAACGTCCATCTCCCATGGGCAGGCTCCTGGATGTCCTGGAGAGAGTCCATGCTTGGTGTGTTCACAGCCAAGTACCACACGGACCCCAGTGTCCCCTTCTTTGAAGGAAGGGCAGCAGCCTGGACGACGGCCTGTGCAATTCAGTCTCCAAGCTCAGTTCCCTGGGGAACCAGCCCAGAACACGTGTGGGATGGGGAGCAGGAACCAGCCCAGAACATGTGTGGACAGGGAGCAGGGCTGAGAGACAATGGGAGGCTGTGGGCCCAGAACAGCCTTCCCATCTCAGTGGAAAGTGCAGTCAGAGGGAGGCATCCACTGTCAGCTGCCTCCTGTCTCTGCCCCCAACATGGGACAAAGTTCACCTACAGGCCCCGCCTGCACATGGCCTCGTCATCTGAGTACTCGTCCATCACCTAGGAAGCCGGGCCCCAGTCTCAAGCCTCAGTGGAGCACCTGGCCTGGGAGGGAGCTCTACTGGGTTCTGCCCTTCACCTTCCCTCACCATGGGATGGAGACCCTGCCTCCCCTGGGTTTGGGACAGTGGCAGCCAGCCTGCATGTTCACATGGTGCTCCAGGCCACAGAAAATGCAAGCCCAAGCCCACTGAAAGTCACCACCGAGACACAGCAGTGCTTGGCACCTGGGTTGGCGTGGGCACGTGGGCTGGCATGGGCATGTGGGCTGGCATAGGCATGTGGGCTGGTGTGGGTACGTGGGCTGGTGTGGGCACGTGGGCTGTGTAGGCACCTGGGCTGGTGTGGGCACCCGGGAAGAATGGGCACATGGGCTGTGCTGGCATCCAGGCAGGTGTGGGCACATGGGCTGTGTGGGCACCTGGGCAAGTGTGGGCACGTGGGCTGGTATGGGCTTCTGGGCAGGTGTGGGTACCCAGGCAGGTGTGGGCACACAGGCAGGTGTGGGCATGTGGACAACCGGGCTGGTGTGGGCTCCTGGGCAGGTGTGGGCACCTGGCAGTGGAGAGGGCATGGAGCTGGTGCCACAGGAGAGAGGAGGCCCAGGGGCTTACAGACAACAGCAGAAACTACTGTAGCACCTGGGGGGTCAAAGCTGTGGTACCTGAAGCTGGGAGCTGAAACAGTTTACCAGGAAGCTGGACTTGGTCCTCGTCATTACCTGAAGAAATGTCTCATTCCTCTTCCTACAGGTGTCGTACATACACCATAATTCATTTAATCATTTATGATTTTCCAGGCTTTTACTACCATTGCAGACAAGCTAATCAAGAAACCTCGTACATAAATCACTTCATGCGTGAAAGTAAACCTGCTGCATAAATCCCTAGAAATGAGACCGCTGAGTCCAAGGACGTGTCTGTTTCAGATCTGACAGATACTAACAAGTCCTTCTCCACAGACACAGACCCAGTTTATGCTACAACCAGAACCATAAGATGTTCCCTATGTTGTTGGAGGGAGCTCTGGTAGCGTAGTGCCTAAAGCACTTGACTGCTAACCAGAAGGCTGGTGGTTCAAACCCACCAGCCACTCCTCGGAAGGAAGATGGGGCAGCTATGAGTCAGGTCTGACTCGACGGCACATAACAACAACAACAACAACAATGCTGTTGGAAGCTGCTGTTACTAACAAACCTTCTTTTCTTTGTATTAAACTAACAGTGGGGTGATTTTCAGTTATAGTTCACATATCATAAGTGAGGCTGGACGTCACCGTCCACTTTTCTGTTACTGTCTGTATTGATTCACATGTGTCACGAAATCAGCCCTCTGTGGTATGAATTGGAAAATGTTTTCCCAGTTTGTTATTTGTTTTCTGACTGTGCACGTACCATTAAAAGGGAAACCAAACAACTCTGGTGTAGTCTGGCTATTTTCCGTTTATCTTACTTCCAGTTCGCCAGTGCTCTTTGCAGCTGTGTCTACTCTGGCCCTAAACCCATTTACTGAGCTAACGTCAGTGTGCTTTTCCAGTTCTGAATTCCCACTGCTTCCTTTTTCCAGGTTCCAGTCCAACCTAAGACCTGTTCTCTCAACCATGTTAATTGCAGATACTGTAAAGTTCCGCTAACATGTGGGTGTGTGTCCAGGGTCGGGTTTTTCCCTTGGCCCTGGCTCCTGGTGTGAATGAACATCGAACCCTGCACATGAATGAACAGACGACAGAGGTCGAGGTGACATCTCTGTCCTCTAGATGACACTTTTGAGTCTGACAGGCAAGAGACAGGAACAGAGCATTCTAATTCAGGAAAGGCCTGATCTCTGTCCCCTGGGCTACAGCCCAGCAAGGGTCTGCCTGCTTGGAAGGTGCTACCACCTCACATGGGGCTCTCCAGCACCACAAGGCTGCCAAATGCCCTGCACCCCCCACAAAGCACTCCCCTCTGCATGCACCTTTTCTTTGAGGCCTGGGTTCTGAACACCAGTTGCTGGGCAAACCAGCTATAAAGGTGATTTTGCAGTTAATTGGGAAAACACGAAAACAGTCTGGAAATTAGTTAAAATGAGAAATTGCTGAGAGAAAAAGATGGAAATTTCTGACTGAAAACCAAGTCTGTGTGCAGGCATGCACATACATATACACATATAACTGCATACGCTGATAATACAGACATGGATGCATAAGTGCACATGTGTGTGTGGTAATATATGGGCTCAGGTGTGCAAGCAGGCATGTATGTATACATATATAAATGCATATGCTGATATATAGACATGGATGCACAGGTGTGTGTGTGTGTGGTGATGTATGGACTCATGTGCAGGGGCGCATGTACATGTACACACGTAACTGCATATCTTGATATATGGATATGGATGCACAGGCATGTGTGTGTGGTGATGTATGGACTCATGTGTGGCACATGTATGTGTACACATATAACTGCATACATTGATATACGGACATGGAAAAGCAGCTGTGCATGTGCATGTAGTGATGTATGACTCACGTGTGCAGGCAGCATGTATGTATACGCATATAACTGCATACATTGATATATGGACATGGATGCACAGGCGTGCGTGTGTGTGGTGACGTATGGACTCGTGTGCAGGGACGCATGTATGTGTACTTATATAACTGCATATGTTGATACATGGACATGGATGTGCAGGCATGTGCATATGTGGTGATGTATGGCCTCATGTGCAGGCAGGCATGTATGTGTGCTTGTACAGCTGTGTACAGACGCCAGCATTTGGATACACAGACATTCCTTTTTTTAAGATCTGGAAGAATGTGCACCAAAGCATTCAGCATGTTTGGGCTCAGGATTGTGACAACAGATGGTTTCGCTTCTGCTCATGTGTGTTCTGATTCCCTCAGTACATACATACAGGTTCAGTAACAGTAAGACGTTATTCTCTAAGAGGGAAGGGTCTGCAAACCCCTACCTTTGTGCTCATCAGAACCAAGAGGAGGGGTGTGTGTTTCATCACCCCACTGCACTTAGGTGGAGACGCCACAGGACTTTCCCTGTAGAATTATGATCCTTCTTCAAAGTCAAATCAATCCACATGGTAAGAACCAGAAGAGGCAGCGGATCAGGGTGTCCCTTCCAATCAGCCTGTGTCGTTGTGGACATCAGGGCGGCCAGTGGGATTTCTGCATTGTGAGCCAAAAGCACTAACCCACAACTGAGAACACTTGGCCAGACTTTTACCAGCATCAGGAACTGTTGTCCAAGGCTCCAGGATTCCTAGAGATAGACTAGTAACTGGCCTCAGGTTAATGTTGCTGGCTACACCTTAACCTGCATTCTCTGTTTTTCAACTACAGCCCTTATTCATACGTGTTATAGCATAATCCGGTACCCATGTGTCTATATACACACGTGCCTGTGTAGGTTACAATCTTTAACATACTTGCACCACTCTGCTCACAAAAATGTACAGAATACCTGCATCCTGTACCACCTTCCCTTCACTGCCAGCCACAGTCCAAACAGTGGCCCTCTTGGCCCACCAACGGCTTGTAACCCAGCCAGGAAAGATGTCTCATCCTCTGTTTGGTGAAGCTTGCTGTCTGGAATGTCTACCTTTTGGTTTATGTGCAGGGACACTAATTTCCCTCAATTCAATTTAGAATAGTACAAAAAGGCCATGAAAACACTGCTTTTTTTAAAAAAAAAAACAAAAACAATGAGATTTAAACCTTTTACATATGTAACTTTTTTAAGGGAAAAAAAAAAAAAAAAAGAGGATTGTTTCCAGAGCATCCTCTGCTCTTTAGTGGCTGCTCCTCATCTATTCCAGACACCCCACTGGGCTCTCTCTCCTTAACTGCAGGCAGTCAGGTAGCACTATTGTCCATTATGGGAGGAGGGGAGACCCAAAAAGGCCCTGTTTTATGGGACTGAACTGAGAACACAGAACGCACAGCTTCCTGGAGACCCCAAGAGCTGGGGTAGTCGGGGAGGCCAGAAGAAAGCCACTCCCTCTTCCGTTCAGTGATGTAACTCAGGGGATTAATGTCCAGGCAGGACAGGAGGGGAGACTTGGGATTACACTAAGCAGCAGCTTACTTTTATTACCTGGGCTACAAGGCTCACCTCAGAGGACACCTGGTTGAAATACCACAGCCAGTTTCGGCCCCTTCTGGGGGGTGTCTGGCTTCAGCTGGATTTACTCTGAGGGTGGGCTTGGGGGTGGACTTACGAGAAGTTGAGCACAGGCTGGCCCACGTGGGAGATGTGTGCCTCCTCCAGGTACTGGAAGGGGTGCAGCGTTGGGAAGGTGCCGGCTCCGGGTGGGTCCGACAGCCAGGTGCCCAGCATCCAGGACAGTGGCTCCACCATTGGGTTCATGGTGGGGGGCTCTGGGGACAAGGAAGAAGGCTGTCATGGCTGGCACAGACTCAGCCTACGTGAGACACACCCTCCTGGGATCACGCCTCCTTAGCCACAGCCACCTGTGGGAGACCAGCAGGGGGAGAAGGCGGCCAGGTAACCGCAAGTGGCCCCTGACGAGCTCATCAGCTCTATGGGACCAGGAGCACCTGCAGGGCCTGGCTGGACAGAGGAGGGACCACCTGATCTGGGCGCCCTCTGACAGGGAGGGGCTGACCACCTGGCCCGACCCCACCCACAACCAAGACCCAGTCGATGCCCTGACGGGAAGTGCCAGAGGTCCGCCCTAGCAGCCCAAAGCCCCGGATGAGGCTTCAGGAGCAGTGCAGCTAGCGAGCACAGGGGGTCTCCCGAGGGAGCAGCGCACCGGAGGCAGGGCCCCACCAGAGGCAGGGGCTGCTCGGGGGCCAGGGTCTCCTGGGGACGGGGACTCACTGAGGCTGAGGGCGCAGCAGGGTGGGGGAGGGCGAACGGGGAGCGGGGTGCACAGCAGGCAGGTGCAAGAGCCCAGCACCTGGGCAGGGGACACGCAGGCTGGGTCTGCACGTGGTCTAGATCTGGGTAGAGCCCGCAGCGGGAAGGTGAAGGATGCTGCCTCCCGGGCACTCGTGATGTGCAGCCCCCACCCCTACGCACAGCTGAGCCACCCGGTGCCGGCACTAAAGGCACTAGGGTCCTGGCGGCCGGTGACGTTAGGAAGGGCTGGGCTACATCCCCAGGTGACAGTGTGACGGGTGCAGCCGCAGGTTGGCTGCCTCGGCCCGCCCACTCTTCTGGGATGCAGACAGGCCCAACCACAGGGCCACTGGCACCAGCTTCCTGCTGGGCGCACAGTCCCTGACCCGGGCCGCGCCCGTCTCCTTGCGCCGCTCCCGTGCTGCACTGACTCTCACAGCCACTAGGGGCGCGCAACCCGAGTTCCTGCGGCGACCCACGGCCGCCCCCTGGGGGCCCCTGCCACCATTGCAGGGGTGTCTGGGCTCTGGAAGCGAGGCCACAGGAGGGAGCGTCCCTTTCTCCCAGCACGGACCTGCAGCAGGGAGCAGACGCTGGTTTCCTGCGCCCCGGCCCTGCGTCCCTTCACCCTGCTCCTGGGTCAGAAGGCGCTTTCTCCAGCGATGAAGCACATGGTGGGAGTGAGAAGTGGTCCAGGGTCCTGGCCTCCACCAGGGGAGTGCTGACTGAGGCCTCTGGGTGGGGACTGCTAAGGGCGACAGGGTTCTTTCCCGGGGTGATAAAGATTCTGCAGTTAGATAGTGGGGGTGGCCAGTCTGCATATGGACACTAATTGGGGGGGGGGGGTTGTATGGCATGTGATGCATGTCCAACAAAGAGCATACCAAACAAACTTAGAACACACACACTAGGATTAAAGGAAACTGTCCTGCCCATGAGTGGGGTCCTCAAAGAAACACCTGTGGGGAAGAATGAGGGGATCAATCTGTATAGCCTCTGGAAACAAGGGGACTGGAATCAACACAATGAGAGAGCCCACTGTCCACCCCAAGACCATGCCAGTCAACGCTGGACTTTAAAGACAGCACCTGGGTGCCCAGCCCCATAAAGAGTGGGGACCCCAGTGGCCTCCCTTTTCCTGCAGGACGTGCAACAGATAGCAGGGAGAGAGCCCTACAACACACATGGGTATAGACCAGGGCCTCCGAGCACGGCCACGGTGGCTCCCTGTGACATACATGCTGTAAACCCGGGCCACCCAGCATGGCCACAGCACCCTCCATGTGACACGTGCAGTGTAGACCTGGGCCGCCCAGTGCGGCCACTGGCAGCACCTGTACATTTGAAATCTGCGGGACCATGCTGGCACGTGTTTTTACTAATGCATGTTGAAATGATAAAGCTCCCATGATGCTTGATAAAATGTTATTAAAATTAACTTCCTCTGTTTCTCGTCTTTCATGTGGCTACTAGGAAATTTACACTCACACAGGAGTCTAGATTCACTTCTCTGGACAGTGGGGACATGCCATTTGCCACCCATGACCCCTTCCCAGGACATCAGCACTAGAGGCAGCACCTGGAGAGGGTGGGAAAATGGTGGCAGAGCGCTGCAGCAGAGCCCTGTGTGCTCAGAAGGAAAGCAAGGCACAGAGAGGTGCAGATGGTGGCCCTGGCCAGCACCGATCCCACGGAGGAACAGGCAAGGCAGGCTCCCAGCTGCCAGCTGCCAACAGCCAGTCAGTGAGGCTGACAGCTCAAGAAACAGGCCGCCAGGAAAGCCTGCCTTTTAAAACGCAAACACGGAAGGCAGCAGTAGCAAGCAGTGAAGACAAGGCAGACGCCTGCCCACCGATCACCATCTAGGTTTCTAGATGGACTCACGACTCCCGGCTCATGTCTCTGGATGGCACTGCGTCCTTGAAACCAGGGCTCAGAGCCCGGCTTCCACTGGTGCTATGACCCTGTCTGGACAGAGGCTTGTTCCTGTCAGCGAGGTCAGAGACATGCAGGGCAGGTCCTAACCTGCTGGGCAGAAACACAATGCACACACAGGGCCCAGGCACACAGACCACAAACCCCAGAACGCTGAGGGCGCCGACAGTCTCCAGAAACCAGGAGAGTGGCCCAGGGCCAGAACCTACACAGCTGAGACCCTGCCTTGGACTTTTAGCCTCCAGAACTATGAGAAAATCCAACCTCTGCTCTTTTAAGCCACCTACTTGCGGTATTTTGCTGACAGGCTAGTGTCACCCACCCAATCCTGGGGCCTGCGCTGAGGTACTGCAGCAATGGGAGAAGTCTCAGCTTCAGGGAAGCAGCTTTTGGGCTTGGTCTGGGGGCTGGTTCCAGAAGCCCACAGGACGCCTGAATGTTCTGGAAGGAGCTGCGCTGGGATATACATGGTTGACCTCGGGCAGAGGCCCAGGCAGGGGATAAGCTCGGGAGCGGAACTACCAGAGCAGAGAGCTGGCAGAAAGAATGGGCACTTGAGGCTCAGGCAGGGAGCACAGGCCGGATGGTGTGTGGGGAAGACCGCACAGCTGTCCAGCCAAGTAAGGACGGTGTGTAAGGAGCCCTGCTGGCGCGACGGTTAAGCATTCAGCTGCAAACTAAAAGGGTGGTGGTTGGAAGATGTGGGAATCAGCTGCTGTCAAGATGACAGCCTAGGGAACCTACGGGGCAACTCGGCCCCATGACGTCGCTGTGGGCCATTACTGACTCGAGGGCACCAACAGGAGAAATTACCGAGCATCCACTGTAATCCAACAGCCCCCCACTCCCCCACCCTAGCAGCCCATCTGTATCAGGACCCTTGTATCTGGAAGACGGGACGATGGGACACAGGGCAGTCAGGGATGGGCCTCTGCCCGCAGCCCCGCCTACAACACTGACGTGAGCTTCCTAACAAAATGCAGACGGTGACAGCACAGGAGGGGCAAGAACCACACAAGGGGCCCCACGAGCTGAAGCAGCCACTCCCAGGACAGGGGCCAGGCAGGCTCCTGAAGAACGGGGCTGGGGGCAGGGAGAGGACAGGCAGAGGGAGCCTCGAGGCCAAGCCCACCTGATAGGGACAGAGCCCACCCTGAGACCAGAGATGCTGGCCCCACAGGTCTGCGGCATGGCCTGGGTGGCACATGGACGCCCCACCCAGTACAAACCTTGTGCTGCCCCCAGCCCCAAGAACCAGACTTGCCAGTAGGGGCTGTGCTGCAGGGACCTTGGCAGGAAGAGGCACGGGAGGTACGTGGGATGGAAAGACTCTCGAGGACAGGGACCAGGGAGGCAGCCTGGGACTGAGGCTAGGAGACAGACGCAGCAGGGCCAGCAGACAGAACCTCAGAGCCAGAGCATGGGAACCAAGACCTCAACACGACATGGTCACAGTGTGGAGGTGGACAGGAGAGGGTGGTGGCCTAGGACACAGCCCAGAAGGAGACGAGTAGCCTCGGTGTGAGGGCAGCTGAAGTGCAGAGGTCAGGGGGCCTTGGGTGGGCCACCATCCAGGACCAGGGAGAAATGCCAGAAGGGGATGCATTAGGTGCTATGGGCTGCACCTGACGCAGCTGTGGGAAGAGCAGGTTGGGGGGACCACTGTGCGCTCACTCACTGACACCCAGAGCGAGTCCTGTGCAGATCTGTCCATGGTGTGGCTCTGAACTGATTCTGCAGCAGCCAGGGGAGCATGGTCCCCTCAAGCCTTGGGCACGAAGGCCTGCCAGTCCTCTGAGGAGGGATAGCTCACATGGATGCCCTGGTGGGAGGACACAACAGGCGACTACTGACCACACCCTACTGGGGAGTAGAGGGCAGTGCACGTGCTAATCCACCGCGAGACTAGAAAATCTACAATGACTGTCTTTTTAAAGGACAGAGAAAGCAGTACATGACTGGTGGTGAAGAGCGCACACTCCATGTCCTCAAGTGAGGGCTTGGAGCTGCTGCCAGTAGGGCAGCCGTGAAGGAGGGAGGCCTGGTGTCACAGACGCCTGGTTGGCAGGCCTCGCCCGTTGCTCTGCGACTGACCAAGTCCTTCAGTCCTTGGGCCATGCTGCTGCTGTGTTTCTTTCAATGTCAAGGAATTTCGATTTGGATAAGGAAGCTGGCCGGCTGTGAACAAAAGGTGGCGGGGCAGGTTTATCCTAGCTTCCTCCCAGCTGCACTGACCCTTGCCGACGTGGCCACAGCAGTCAGTTCCTGCAGGGCCAGCCTTGCTCCACTGCCCCTCCACTTCCCGTCTGCACTGCTGACCGGGACAGGGGTCAGGTGCTTGCTCCTGGCACCTGGTACCCCCCTTATTTTCATCAACACATTGGAGCAGGTGGGTGGGAAACACCAGAGAAAATTCTGCAACTCAAATGCAGGTCAACGAGCTTCCAACCTCATGGAGGGGACCCTTAGAGTTGTGTGTTTCACGTTATGCAAATTAACTCCAATATGAAAATGAAAATAAAGTCAACTTAAAAACCAAACGAAAAGGTGTAGCAGCTAAGGGATCTAAGCTACTGGC